GATAACCAAGAGTGGAGCCAGTGAAGACGAGGATGTGTTACCGAAGTTCCTTCCTTTTGAGGGGAAGTACGTCTCCATTGGAGCGGTGTGGAGACACAATGATCCCCAAGAAGCCACTAGGGCCACCGTATTCTCCTCACGCCCTCACACAATGCGAGATGCCGTGATTCCACTATTGGTGCCCTTGGAGGCGGCGACCGGACCTTTACAAACAAGGTTGGGGCAATCTCCACAACTTAATCGGAGGCTCCCAACAACACCACGAAGCTTCACCACAATGGACTATTGCTCCGTGGTGACCTCAACCGTCTAGGGTGCTTAAACACCCAAGAGTAACAAGATCCGCTAGGGATTGGTGGGGGAATCAAATTTCTCTTGGTGGAAGTGTAGATCGGGGCCTTCTCAGCCAATCCCGAGAAAATCAACAAGTTTGATTGGCTAGGGAGAGAGATCGGGCGAAAATGGTGCTTAGAGCATTAATGGAGCTTTGGGGGGAAGAGGTAAGTCAACGAAGAAGAAGAGGACCCCCTTTTATAGAAGGGGATCCCATCCAACCGTTACCCCCAAAACAGCCCCGCATAGGGCGGTACTACCGCAGGTGGCAGCGGTACTACCACTGGACCCAGCGGTACTACCGCTCCCCCTTGCGGTACTACCACCCAGCCTGGGAGGGCTCAAAGAGAGAGCAGGAAACATGCCTAGCGCGGTACTGCCGCGGTGGTAGGGCGGTACTACCGCCCTCGAGCGGTACTGCCGCTTCTACAACCGCTGCAAGGTGCCGCTCAACCCAACATGAGGGGCGACCCCCTCAAGTCGACGTAGTAGTAGCCCGGTACCGCAGCGGTACTGCGGCTGAGAACCACAAGTGGTACTACCGTTGGGTACCGCGGTACTACCGCTCGGACACAAATCAGCATAACTGCAAGGGGAACGAGCTCTCTAGTTGAAGCAGAAAAGCTCAGAGGGTGAGAGAAGGATGTGTATGTGTTGATTCCACCCAAGCCTTACCAAAGTGGACCCCCTCTTGATAGAACGGTGACTCCTACGAAACTAGTCCACCAAACAAGAAAGAAGGAGCTACACCGTCTTGAAAAACACTCCGAGGGGAAAGAAATCGTCTCGTGCCAAAGGATGAATCTCTGAAAGGCTCAAAGCACATGGTTAGTCCGCAAACATGTTGTCATCAATCACCAAAACTACATCGATAGAGATATGCCTTAACATAGTGTCATATGCATGACACTAGTATAAGTTACTCCCCACTATGACAAGGCCGGTTGTAATGGGAGTATGGTATCGTGCATGCCAGCTAGACTTTTTTGAATGATATGGCACACAATTAAATGAGTAAAGATAGAGTGTGGTATTATATCATGGTACCGTATCATATTGAATGTCGTACAACTTTTATCATGCATGACAATTAATAAGGCAACCTAAGATACTAACTTATGATATGCATTACTGAAGTAGTATCATATACTAGTATCATACTCCCTCCGTTCCCAAATATTTGTCTTTCTAGAGATTTCAACAAGTGAGTACATACGAAACAAAACGAGTGAATCTACACTCTAAAATATGTCTACATACATCCATATGTTGTAGTCCATTTGAAATGTCTAGAGAAACAAATATTTGAGAACAGAGGGAGTATATGATACACTCCATTACAACTAGCCTGATGATGCTACAAGACCTCATTAGCATTATGTGCATCTGCCTTAAAGATTAGCAAAGTATCATCTACAAACAGTACGTGGGATATATCAGGGGCTTTCCAGCACACCTTGAGGGGAGTAAAATTTCATTTTTCTATGCCATCCTTCAACCGTGCAAGACGACATCAGCTATAAATAGAAACGAAAAACGGAAAGAGGGAGTCACCTTGACGTAGCCCATGCAGCGGCGCAAACAAATCCAAAAGGGTGCTATTAAATTTATCAATGTATCATCCAGGAGCCACGGTCTGGTTCACTTGAACGTGCCGAGGTTGGTTTCCAGAGCAGCAAACCAATTACGTTGGGCATACTCGAGATATCAGGTGATACCAAGACTTAGATGATACCATGATATGGGCTCCCGAGAGCCATTGGATCTCAGATCTGATGGCCATGGGAAGCTCTTGAACATTTTGTAAAAAAGTCATCTAAGAGTCTCAAAATCGTGCGCAGGTACAATAACTCTTTAGATGCCGTCGGATTTGAGATCCAACGGTCAAGAAGTCTGTATCACGGTATCATCTAAAAGCATCTCCAACAGTCGCGCCAAAAAACGCGCGCGCGGGGTAAATTGGCTTTTTAGCGCACGCGGGACGTTTTCGCCCGCTCCAGCGGTGGCGGGAAACTAGCACGCGCAGGAAAAGGCGGCCGCTCGCGCGCTACATTTGGTGTGTCGCGTCCGGCGCGCATATAAATTGCAGCGCCTCTGCCACTTTCTCCATCTCTCCATCGCCCTTTGCCGCTCTCTCCATCTCTCCGTCGCCCTCTGCCACGCTCTGCCGCCGACACGCCACCATCGCGCCACCATGCCGCCTCGCTGCCGGGGAGGTACGGGCTACCACGGCGTCCGCCTGCGTTCGTCCGGCACCTACGCCGCCGAGATTCGGTCGGGCGGCGGCATGCGGCTCCATCTCGGAACCTTCGACACCGCCCAGGAGGGCGCCCACACGTACGACGCTGCAGCGTGGCGCCTCCTGCGGTCCCGCCAGGACATGAACTTCGCCGACGTGGTGACGCGGGAGCGCGCACAGGAGTTGGCGCCTTTCCCGTGGCTTCTCACCGACGAGGATCGTCGCAAGCACCGGAGGCGGCAGCATCGTCTCAGGCTGGCCGAGATGGATGAGCAAGCCATGGCGCTGTGAAGCCATCGCTTCCCGGAAGACACCAACGAGGAATAGTTCTTCGCCCAAAGGAGGGCGAAGATGGCGAAAAGGAGGGAGGAGCGAGCCGACTATCGCCAGGACAAGCGAACGTGGAAGGCGGTCGCTAAATACAACGAAGTGCTAGGAGATGTGTCCTCCTGGAACTCCAGCGACGAGCGGTTCCTTGACACCTACGCTCTGACGTCGGAGGAGGACATCACCGAGACAGAGTCCGAGTTGGACGAGTAGTAGTAGTAGGAGAACTATCTACGAAACCGGACGAGTAGTAGTAGTAGAAGAAGAGACAGAGTCCGAGACGGACGAGTAGTAGTAGTAGTAGTAGTAGTATAAATGTATCGAATCGTAGTAGAAAAAAACTGATCAAATATAGCGCGCCTGCTGGAGCGACGTGGGCGCGCTTTAATTTGCGGCGGCCGCTAGAGCCAGCGCACCGCCGCGCGCAAAAGCTGGCTAACCGGCATTGTATCGTGACTTTTAGCGCGCGGAGCCTTGCGCGGCTGTTGGAGATGCTCAGAGCATCTCCAACAGGTGCGGCAAAAGGCGCGCCCGCGCGGTAAAATTTGGTTTTAGCGCGTGCAGGCTGGTTACGCGCGCTCCAGCGGTGGCGGGAACTTACCGCGTGCGGGAAGCGTTTGCGCGCGGGGGGGAAGAAAGCGGCACGCGGCGCGGTAGATTTGGCGCGCCATTCGCGCGCGCCTATAAAATGTCGCGCTTGCCACGCGTACAGACACATCCACGCGCCCTCCCCTCGCAACCTCGCCGCTTCGCCACCTCGCCGCTTTCCGCGCCACCATGCCGCCGCGCCGCCGGGGTTCTTTGGGCTACCGTGGCGTCCGCAAGCGCCCCAACGGCTGGTACTCCGCCGAGATCCGGTCCGGCGACGTCCGGCTCGGCCTCGGGTCGTTCCGGAGCGCGTACGAGGCGGCCCACGCGTACGACGCGGCGGCGTGGCGCTTGGATAGGCCCCGGTCGCAAATGAACTTCCGGGACGTCTTAACGCGCGAGCAAGCGCAGCGCGTCGCCCCTCCGCCGCGTCTCATCACCGATATGGACCGTGCCGACCACGCTCGGCGCTGCTGCCGCCGCCTCCTCATCGCCGAGGAGGACGAGCGAGCCATGGCGGAGTGGCGCCATCGCCACCCGGAGGACGTCGCCGACGAGCGTGCCTACTGGGCGGAGAGGACGGCAAGGCGCCGCGCGGAGCGGGCGGACCGGTGTCGACGGAAGGCATTGGCGAATGCGCAGTCCGATATTGTTGCAGCAGGTGGAAGGTCGATCTTCACGTCAGACGATGAACGTTGGGATGACATGTGGCTCGATACCTCGGACAACACCGACGAGGATGATGATGGTGATGATGGTGGTAGCGACTTGAAGTAGTTTTATCTATGTATGCCGTAGTAGTTTCTTTCTAGTTGCACCGTAGTTCTATCTATCTATGCTTTCGAACTATCTATCTAGTTGCACCGATGTAAAATACCTTTGTATCGTTTTTTATCTATGCAATTTATTATTTTTTATCTTATTATCCATGCTTCCGAAAATGTTGTAAAATGAGCGCGCGTGCTGCATTTTTTGTGCGCTGCTGGAGCGGCGCGCGCTGCATCTTAGCGCGGCTGTTGAAGCCAGCGCTGTGCGCCGCGCCAAACCAGGCGATGAGCGCGCGGCAAAGCTGTTTCGGCGACTGTTGGAGATGCTCCAAGTCTCGGTATCACCTGAAATTTTCCCGGGCATACTCTTATGGTGGAGCCACGGCCCGGTTCACGTGAACATGCCGAGGTCGATTTATGGAGCAGCAGCCCAATTACGTTGGCCATGCGGGACACATAGGAATACAGATATCTGAGCTTTTGCATGCTTAAATAGAAAGAGCTCTGAGTTTTCTCCGGAAAAATAACAATCGCAGAGAAGTGTGACAACAACTTTAAAAGATGGATTATGAAAAATAAAAATCTCTCGCTCCATCAACCCCATCTTTTGTGTCTAACTAGCACCGTGCACAAGCAAGCACTCAACTACGAGCACAAGTCATGAGCTGTGACGCTGGATATAGCCATATAGGCAATTGGCAGCTTTGTACATTGTAGTCGTGGTGTCCCTCTGGAACTGATCGTGCTCAGGACTGATTTTCTACCTCAGGGTCTGGATTCGCAGAATGTGTTTGCTGTTCGGGAGATGAATTGCCCTGTAAACAGCAAGTGAAGTGAACCAGCATAAGTTTTAATACAACAAACCTAATTATCTAAATTGGAAATAAGAAGCAATTCCCCCATTGGTAGCAAATGTTTATCCATTATAAGCAGAGGAAATAGTAATACAAAGAAAAAAAGGGCTTATTCTGCTTATTCTCCTGAATGGATAATGGCATAGTTGAATAGCACACGAAAACATGGGGTGTATGCCTGTACGGCTCATCATACCATCTCAATGTCTTCGGATTCAGGAGGGCACTCAGATTTTTCAACATTTGCAGTTACAGGTTCTGAACATGGCAAGGCATAATGCTGCATGCATACAAGAGATAAGTGGCTTTTTCGATGTGGGTGTAGAGCTAGAGCAAGATTGCACTGTGCTAGAGAATCAACAGAATCAGACGGCTACTTACCTTAAGGGACGGTGGGCTCTGTACTTGATTGCTGCCAGTGTCAATTTCCGACTTACATTCTACATTTGCATTGGCTGTGGAAGAGATTAAAAAGCGCATGATTTGACAGCATTCATATTTCATAAATGAAGCATGACATGGACACTTCAAACGTCAATGAGCAGCGGCAGATATATGACTTGATAAATTTTCTATGATGTTTTCTTTCCAAGGATAAAATTTCTATGTGGTTGGAAACAACAGACTGTAGTCTGCAACTTCATAGACTATGATTAGAACTTGACACTTGGCAGAAAGGAAGTGCAGAATTGCCAGAAAGAACATAACATTTCAGTTCACAGATGAGTACTCCCTTCAGAAAAAAAAACTCGAATATCTTGGTTTGTCCTAAGTCAAACATCTTTAAGTTTGACCAAGTCTACTGAAAAATATACCAACGTCTACAACACCAAATTAGTTTCATTAGATTAAACATAAAATATATTTTCAAAATATATATTGGACATTGTAGATGTTAATATGTTTTTCTATATACATGGTCAAACTAAAAGAAGTTTGACTTAGGACAAACCTAGAACTTCAAGTATTTTGGATAGGAGGGACTGCATTTCAAGATGTCCTTTGTATCTTATGAAAATGTGTCAAGACAAACTTGTATGATCAGTGTAACAGGGAGATCGTTAAAATTAAAGATTTACCTGTTTCATCAATTATGGGTATCATCCTATCCTCATTAGGAAGATCAACTTGACTACCTGGAATGCTATCTACTTTACAATCCTGACTTTCAGAAACTGGCAGAGAACTTTTCATTTCCTATTAGATAGTTAGGAGAAGTAGCTAAGAATTGCAAGACTGATTACAAGAAATGCATAAATGAGTAATGGCATTTGTGTCTTACCTCATGCCCAAGCCTGCTGAATATGTCTTGAAATTTCTGTAGAGCAGTTTCCATGTTGTGAAGCTCCACAAGCATTTCCTGTATAAAGAACAGACTAGATTGATTTGAGATTTTGGAGTTCCAGAGACAATCGGAAAGCTATGAACATCTTAACAGAACAACCTGCTTATCTGAAATCAACCTCTCGATAATTTCATCCTTCACCAGCAGAGATTTCTTAAGGTAACAACGTTAATGGAAAAGCAACAAACATGACGAGATCCATAGAAATTAAGAATGAATATGAGCAATGCTTTCAACTTAGTATGGATATTTCTTCTAGCTGGGGATGAAAATTGTTTTTAAGCTTCTCAGCGTCAAGTTGCTCCTTCAATCCATATATGATCCTCGCCCTATTTCGAAGTTCGAGCTGGTAACTAGTAATTTTATCTCCCAAGAAACTAAGTTTCTCTACATAAATGGAACACCAGAATGAGACCAGATTACACAAAGATTCTTCATATACATGATAACCATTATCACCGTAAGATAATAATCTGAAACTAATGAAGCCATATTACAAGAAGCAACCATACCAACAAAATCTTTCTCGAGTACAGAAATCCTTTGGACCTTACACTTCAAATCAGAGACTGAAATAGTAATGTAAAGGACATTATTAATATTACATCAGCAATGGAATTGATTGGTCAAACAATATTAGGATAATGCGCTCATACCTACATTTTCCTTCTCACCAACTAGGCATTCCACGTCACCTAGTACTTGTTTTACCGCAGCAACTTCCTTTCCTACTGAATTAAACAAAGCCAGATGGGAATTCAGCTTTTCTGAAATTACGGTAATCTGTTTATCCCTCATCTGGATGGTCCATTGCAGAGAACAAGCAGAGTCCTGCCTATCAAACATAGTATCGTGAGCCAAACATCAGACTGCTTCCATAAACAGTTCAGAATTCAAGCCTACGTTCTTCATACATGCAGAAGTAATGCGGCATCCACAAATTGAAATGGTATTACATTTATAGAAGTATGTGCACAATACAAATCTGCAAGGAGATTACTGCAGTGTACAGTAGAGCATATGACAGCTGCTAAATAAAATGAAAGAAAGTGGTACATCTATCATCTTACACTCCTAGAAGTTATCCATATACATACATGATGTTGATAACAGAAATCTTAAGGTAAATATCTGAACGAAGCCTTGCATGAACATGTAACTATTATCACACAGACTGTAAGTTCAGTGAAGTTTTATACTGAGAGAATACAATGCAGCAAATTCAACTTAGCAGTAACAACAGCCCAAAAGAAGGGACAAATATTAAGGTCGTCACATGCCTCGTACTGTCTCATGAATGCCTCCCTTGATTGAAGCAGTCTCTCTATGTTTTCTTTCAAATCCTTTTCGTTTCTTTCCAGCAGCTCATTTTCATTTTCAAGGCACTTCACCTGTAGAGCCAAAAAAAAAAAAAAGGTTCTGCAATGACTCCCAGCCTGACAGGCAATAATCGCCCACAAGGGGAGGATTCGAGAATTCACTACCGGCGATTGCATCATGGGCATTTAAGAACAGTGTTGCTTATGTCTACTCAGTGCTCCTCAGATCAAAATTTGTGATGAAATGTATGGTTTAAATGGCCCCAAACACAACAACAGTGCAGTAACCAGGATAATCTCTACTGGATGGGCCAAACGGGAGATAATGGGGGCAAAGGGGTACGAACCCTGGACTCGAGCCTTTGCAGCGCTTCGTCCCGCGCCGCCAACTCCGCCCGCAGCTCCCGAGCCTCCCTCCTGCGCTCCTCCTCCGCCGCCTTCCACCTCTGCACAATCCATCCCGTTCCCACCCAAAATCGCGTTAGAAACACATCTCTCCCAGAACAACCAGAAAGCCCTAAGAGGTCCAACACCGATCGAATCTGTGGGCCGCAGACCTCGCTGGACGCGTGGAGCTCCTCCCGCGCGGCCCGCTCCCGCTCCTGCGAACGGGAGGAAGAGGAGGGGAGAGTTAGGACCTGGGAGGCTCTGGAAGGTCTAGAAGGGTGGTTCGGTGACTCACGCGGGTGAGCCGGAGCTCGGAGACGAGGGCAAGGAGCTGCAGCTGCAGTTGCGATAGCGCCGCCGCCTCCGCCTCCATCGCGTCGACGCTCGGCGAGGCCGAACCCCGTCCCTTCCGCTCGGTTGCTCCGGTGATCCAACGGTAGCTATGGAAGCGCTAGGGATCGGACCAGCGACCTGTGCTTCCTATCGGACCAGTCGGTGGCCGTAGGATTAAAATCAGGCTACTCGTCCGATCTACTAGGAACGAAGATCAGCGAAAAATGCCAATGGTGGCCGGGCCCGTGGACACATACACTCGTATATACGTACATACGCTCACACCGGATGAAGTACGCGCGACGTACACTCTATCCCTATAAGCACATTTGAGAGACTAAGGAGGTGTTTGTTTTCAGGGACATTTTGGTTGTAGGTACTAGAAAAAATCCCTTTTAAAGACTTTTTAACCAAACAGAAGAGACTATTAGGGACTAAAAGTTGTTTTTTGGGACTAAAGAAGAAGACTCGTAAGGAGAGTCTTTTTGGGAACTTTTTAAGACTTTTCCAACAATGCCTCTCCATGCATTTATTGGCCCGCCATCCCATGATGTTGTTTGATTGTTATTTTTCTATATACTAGGGGTAACATGGTCATTTAATAATCTTTAGGGAGGGACTAGGGACTTTTTAATCCCTGGAAATAAACAGGGAAGGACTTTTTAGAGACTAGAGACTTTTTAGTTGGGACTAGAAAAAGTCTTAGGACTTATGAACCAAACAGGCATAAGCCGACGCTTCATCTTAGGATTGATGAAATCACCACAGGCGCCTCCATAGATGATGAGAATGTCTCCTTCCACTAAAAGCACGTCGCCAGAAGGCCAAAGATAAATTAAAAAACTGCGAACATCAATGTTAAATCTAAAACTTGAACTTTGGTGGGCCAGAGATACCGCTGTCCTCCTAAGCATCTAATCACAGATTAGTTCGCCTAAGAGCCTAGTATTAAAATACCATTTCACTAATGGCGACTGCTAGGCGCCGGCGCACCGGCCCAAATTTGGGCCGGTCGCCTAGCGGTCGTCCGATTGGCGCTCTCGTAACCGTCTGATTCATCATCTCCTCCCCCCGCACTTCTTCTTCCTCCGTATGAGGCAACCCCCCGCGCCCCCCATGTCGTATCGAGGTCACCCATGCTCCCCCGCACACCCCACCGAGCTCGTCGCGTGCCTTGCAAAGCTCGCGGGTCTCAAATAACAGTCGGTTGCCGCTCCCCCATAGTGCCCCCCTCGCCGGATTCGGCCGCCGCCCTGATAGGTTGCAACTTCATCGGCGCCGCTCGCCGGCAGCACGGTCATGCGCCCCCCTGTTGCAACCTCACCCTCTCCCCCTGGATGCAGCTCCTATGTAGCAAAAAACATGTCGATGGAAGCTTTTGCTGCCAGTTGAAACAAAATAGAGTCTCCGGTGTTGCTGTCGCAGAAATTGCTCTAGTCAATGCAGCAAAAAAAGATGATGTTTCCAGCTCAAGTGTTCGCCGGTTGTAGCAAAACAATCTGCCGGTTCCAGCTCCGGCATCGGGCAGTGGCAACAAAATGCTCTGTTGGTTGTAACAAAATCCCTCGCCGGTAGTAGCAAAAATTGATGGCGGTTGCAACAGATAAAGCCATCGTCGTAGTAGGTCGCAGCTCTACCGCGATGGAAGTAGCAATTCCGTTGCTGGTAGTAGCAAAATTCGACGATGGTTGCAGCTTCTGGCTCAGCTGGTTGCAACTTCCAGGGGTGGAGGTTCGCTCGTCGGAGTGGAGCTGAGTGGAGCATCCATGGCGGTGTTGCGGGGGTGCGCAGCCGGGCTGTAGCAAGATGTGATGCCGGGGGTAGCAAATTGCGACGCGGATTGAAGGCTTGAAGCATGTGGAAAAAACGGTGATGCTGGTTATTTTCCCGAGTAGCGTCGCCGCGTCCTCGCCGACAGCGGTTGCAGGTTTTTCTTGCTGCATGTAGCTCCACGGCAACGCTCCCGACGGCGGCACTCGCGACGACGGTACGGCTTCTTGGAGCACGGCCCTGCAGCAGTTATCAGGAGGAGCACGAGCGAGCACGCGGCGGGGTGGTAGCTGGCCATGGCTGCTCGGGAGAGAGGGGATGGTGAATGAGAGGTAGAAGAGAGGAAAAGGCGGTGGTGGTGGGCCAAGGGAAATAGGTGGCACGTGGGGAGGTTGCGAAGGGTGCTGCCAGCCGCGCGATGAGGGAAGATCCAGTGGATTGCGTGCGTCCGGCCAATGGTTCGGCCGGCGCGCCGTTCACAAACATTACCCTTTACTAATTGTGTGCATTATGGGCCTGTTTAATTAGTCGTGTCATTTTTCTATTTTCGGTGAACCTGACTCGGTGGAGCTTAGCCGAGGAAAAGCAACCTCTAGACTATGTTCCGCATCTAGTTTGGTTGTCCTCATCCCCTTCGGGCAGACTGAGGAAAACAAATGTATGGTTTTTAGTTACGAATCTCTGCTCTCCAGATACAATGGGCGGTTGTTTGGTTACCTATGCACGGATGGTTAATCCTACCTTGTGTCCATGTGGTGAATTTACCTAACATCATCACACTTGAAGAAATTTGTCTATAAGGGTCGAAATAATATCCATGGTGAGCGCACAACCAGCCGATTAGAAACACTTTCCTTAAATATATAAAATGATGTCGCATTTTCAAAGATTGGTCGCCAGAAAAAATCAAAAGAGAGAAGTCACGGTGATCTCTTCATGCTCGTTCCAAGTTTAAAGTACCTTTTGACCAAGGAAAACCCTGCTTCAGTTACAGCGAGTTTACCTGTGTTTACCTAAACACGACAACACCTTCACGGCGTCGTTCTCCTTCGTGAAGGCATTATCCTGTTTGCTCGTGGCGTCCTTGGTTCTGGATTTGGATATGTTAGTTGTCTAGTTGTTGGTTATGGTTGCTTCAGGACGGCAAGTTTTTTTTTGAATGCAAATAGACTTTATTTCTCAAATAATAGACATGTCATTTACAAGCAGATGAGAAATAAAATCAGGGATCTCATCATCCCAAGAACTAGAAGATCTAGTAGTAAAAGAGTTCTTTGCTAATTCATTTGCCACCTGATTGGCCTCTCTATAGCAATGTCTGAAGGATATGGACGCAAAGTCCATCATAAGTTGTTTACACTATGATGATAGCTACCTCCGGGCCTAAATAATCATCAACTTGGTTCAGCGAGTCCACTGCGAACGAACAATCTGATTCAATTTCTATGTTGTTGCATCCAATGTGAGTTGCCAAGTATATCCCGTTTCTGATGGCAGTTAGCTCAGCTGAGTCAACTTCACTGATGTTTAGAACAAACCAACTTGCTGCAGCAATAAAATCACCCCGGTAGTCCCGAGCCACAGCACCACAAGCATCTGAAAGTGTTTCATACTGAAAGGAAGCATCAACATTTATCTTCACGATCCCATATCCTGGTTTCCTCCACATGTGGTCGTTCTTACATATTGGTCCTTTGGGTATAGTTGACCTGAGGAAATTTGTCGCCAAAACCTTGATGGTTAGTGCAGTTTTTTCCGGCGTTTGGACTTTGACTCCCTTTACTATCTGTCGGCGCTGCCACCATATATACTATGCTGCTACAACAGCAAGCTCCGCCGTTGGTACCTCCGCTCTTCAGGACGGCAAATTTAGTTGTGTTTTGCTCTGCTTGGGTTGAGCATCTCATGTCTCTCTGCTTCGAGCATCATGTTCATGCCTCTTGTTTATGTGCCATGTGTTGTACCACCTCTTATACTCACTCTAACTTCTTCTATTAATAGAATGGTACGCAAGCTTTGCGTATTCGCGAAGAAAAATGCTTTAATAATCATCATCATGGGAAGCTGGCATGTTTGGATGCAAGGAATGGATGGATCTTTAGACATCAGTTACCTAATTTGAACTCTTGGTGCTTCTCTCTTAGACAAGATCTACTACTTCTCACTCACAGGATTAAGCCTAAATTTGCAGGTGATTTTAAAGAGTGGATTACAGCCCATATTAGTTGAGACCAAGTCTTTTTAATCATGGTGTTTGCAAGAACTGGCATTGGATAGGCCAAGAGGCTTTGTAATTTTCTTTTTTTCTTTTCTTCTTTCTTTTGGCTTTTGGCTTTTGTATATACTCCCTCCGTACCATAATACATGTCGTTTTAGCAATTCAATTTGAACTGCTAAAACATCATATATTATGGTACAGAGGTAGTATATACTTACTTTAATGAAAATACCATAGAACGATTGTTCAATGGTTTTTGGGTCAAAAAATGTGTACAAGAGCCAAAACAGCTAGAAGCTTGCGGTGACTTCATCATACCAGGAGATAGGTATGGAAGCCACTACGAGTATATATCAAGGGTTAGTGAAGAAAAATGTATCCCCTTGTAAATTCTTGATTGCCACAATTTTCACAATAAAAGCAAGACAGGATTTCTGAAGGCATTACTACACCAGAATCCGATTATTCCACGGCCACAGACAACGAGGAAACAGAAATTGATCCGGAGGGCCAGTACGCGGATACTAGAGAGACAGGCGCGGGTCCGTTAGATGAGGAAGACCAGTCCTGGCCCCCAAAGCTCTGCAGCCGCAAGCAGCCTGCAAATCAAATACAAATGCACGCACCATTACCATTTCATGTTCGCCCGTAATACAATACTAGTAGTAGTCAAATGCAGCAGGCCTTACCACTTGTGCTGCAAAAGGCAGCATCTTCTCAACTGGCATGCCGGTGCATAAACCTAATCAATAGGCACAATGAATCAGCTCATCGAAAACCTCTCAGCGGTCATCAGTCACGATTCATAACAAAGAAAAAATGCCTCCAGTTCAAAATCTCAAAGACGTATGGATAAGGAAATCAGAT